ACTTGCCCTTAATTTACACTAGGTAGGTTGAAACTTGCCCTCAATTTACACTGGGTTGGTTAACGCCCTTAATTTACACTGGGTTGGTTGATGCCCTTAATTTACACTGGGTTGGTTGACGCCCTTAATTTACACTAGGTTGGTTGACACTTGCTCTTAATTTACACTAGGTAGGTTGACACTTGCCCTTAATTTACACTGGGTTGTTTGACACTTGTCCTTAATTTACACTGGGTTGGTTGACACTTGTCCTTAATTTACACTGGGTAGGTTGACACTTTCCCTTAATTTACACTAGGTAGGTTGACACTTGCCCTTAATTTACACTGGGTTGGTTGACACCTGCCCTTAATTTACACTTGGTTAGTTGAACTTCAACTGATGTGCTACTGATTAACCACATATTGTTTAATTGTTTGTGGCTATGCAGCAGTGTCTAGAAGAAATACGGTAGAAAGTTTCCTTCAGCATGCAGTCTTCCATATTTTTGTTGTTTTTGCTTCCAAGTTGTATGGATATCACTCTTCATCATGAACTTTGTGCATTAGCCAGTAGTTTCACATTTTGATATTCCACATGAGGCTGCATAACGTGTATGCATACAGGTTGGTTTGTTTATGGTGTGAAGTATACATAACCAGAAGGACCCAAAGAAGAGCCAGAAGCGGTATTATGTTAGCCCATAGCAATAGCTTTCTATTGGCCCTATTCAGCCAGAGACACCAGCACCAATTCACAGTGCTGATGAGCACTAGAGCATTGCGTTCCATCCTGACGCTAAATTTTTTATTGCAGAGGGTACATGTCCTCACTGAAGCTTTATCAAAATTGAAAACTTACAGAGAAAACGATTTTGTGATATCTTTGTACACCATCCAATTTTTCATACATGTAGGTTCTGACTTTTTCATAGGCCTTAGGTATGTCTACTGTTCCTATTATATAATCCAGCCCTGATCTACAGTCTTTACAACAGTGCCGGAGTAGCTATTGCAACAGTCACCCATCAATCTTTCTCTACTCTGCTGGTCAAGTGGGTGACTGCTCAAGCAAGGAACGGGCCTGTAGTACAACTCACCTGAAGAGCAAGGCGCGCACCAAGTCGTCGGGCAGCGGCAGGTGGAAGGCCCGGCAGGTCTTGCGCACCAGTTCGGCGTCCACGAAGCCTGAGCGGTCCGTGTCATAGGACTGCAGCCCCTCGGCCAGCCGGGCAAAGTTCTCAAAGTTGCTGCGGCGGAGCTGCTCCTGGGCCACCGACACCAGACCCTCCAGGGGCATCTTGTTGTCCTGACTGTCACTGTAGTAACGCGCCACCGTCATGATCTCGTGCTCAGCCAGCGAGGAGCCGCCCAGCTGTACCATTAGGTTTCTGTAGGACAATCCAAATGTTTACAACTGTTGTATAGATCAACTGTCCACTATAGATTGGGCACATTGTATTTAGCAACATTTGTGCATTTGAAGCAATGTGATAGAAATCTTTGGGGTGAAGCGTGTAAAGACAGGATGATTACAAAGCGTTCTCATGAATTTCTCAAGAGAATTTGTATGACATGAAGCTTGCTTCGTTGACTTTCACAGCCCCTTCAGTTGGTTCCCAAACATGACACGTTTCTACTTTGAAATTGCACTGCACAGTCCACAACAGCCTGGAAGGAGGATCTGTCTGATGTAACAATCCTGGACTGACACGATTACACATTTCTATTATGAATGTCCTTGCATTAAATACTAAACTTGCTCACATTCACCATTAAAGACTGAACACAGGGCAGTTTTCCTGTGCAAATGAGCAAAGGCCAATTTTTGCAAATTGGAAGAGTTACCAAAATGAGTGCCTTGCATCAAGCCTCTCGGTGTATGAGAACTAGGCTAACGGTAACGGTAACAGGTTCTGCTAACAGTACAAGACAGGAATATCCAAAGCTTGAAAGACAGCAATATCTAAAGCTTGAAAGTCTAAAGTGGTGTACATGCATCACTGATGGCCCAATAGCAGTGCAAAAGCCTAACATGTTTTGTGTCTAGCAAGCAGAGTTGTAGGGGGCTACTAACCTGAACAAGTCATATTCCAGTTTGCCAGTGCCTTCGGGGTCATTCCTCTTGAAGAATTCTTTGATCTGTTCCATGTGCTGAGAGGCGATCTGGCCCAGCTTCTGGATGATGGAGTTGATGTTGGAAACACTGAACTGCATCAGAGAAGAAAAAAGGCAAATACAACTAAGTCACAATGGGAAATTTTTTAAAAAATGACTTCCTACCAAATCTGACTGACCCCCATAGACAGAAGTGTCTTGGCGATATTACCACTTCATCAGGAAAGGGAATTTTCACTTGATGCTCAAAGCATTAATAAACCTGAATGCAAACATGATTCAGTAAGTTGTTTCCACAAAGTTTTGAGGTGGTCTGACATTCCCCAAGCACTATAAACTTTTGGCCAATGATTCCACACATTTCAACAGCTTGGGAATCAAGTCCAAATGGCAGGCATTGGTATTAAGACAAATGCATGAGTGTCTTAGAGTACCTACCTCCTGGGCCTGCTTTTCCATGTAGCGGAAGGCGTACTCATCGGCATTGATCAAGATAAATATGTGGTTGTGGAAGTTGACCCGACTGCCCACGTACAGGTCCCTGGCCTGGTAATACTCTGACAGCTCAGTGCCAAAGCGCTCTTGGTTGGGCTTCTTGATACGGTTCCTCTCCAAGAACTTGCCACCGATGATCCCTGGAGATTGAAATCAGGAAAGGGTTCATTCCTAAAGCACGATCAGTGGATTTTTTAAGGACGTGGATGTGCAACCTAGGCCACTAGATCACAATCTGGGTGCTTAGACTGAGGGAAGTGGCCTAGTGGGTTTGTCACTTATATTCAGAGGGTCAGAGTCTGAATCCAGCTTCTGGCCTAAAGTTGTGGCCTAAGGCAAGTCATGTCACCCCCTACTTCCTCCTTCACACCAGGGGTAGGCCCATAAATGGGGACCGGCATTAGCTGGGGAGTAACCTGCGATGGACTGGCACCCCCCGAGAGGGAAGTGGAAATATCCTCAGTCTTTTCATGTCATGGAAACCAGAGACAACACCAGCCTGATGGGCCACAATGGTTCTTAGCTCCACCCCCTACTTCAGCTTTTTTACAAAAAATTTTACAGTCGAATATCAAGAGTCCTTTTTTGCTTACATAGATCTGAAAGATACGTGTCAATCTGGATATTGTTTAAGTTGCATGGCTGTTGTTTCTCAAGAGTTTTCTCGATTTCAGGATTTTGCCCTCCAATTTTTCAGAGGTTTGTTTAGATTTTGCTACTTTTTGGCAACACAAATGAACAATGAGAGATTCTCATGATGGTCACGGGAGAGAACTCATTCCTCTATAAAAGCCCTAAAAAAATCACTAAGTTAAGAGAGAGTTGAAATATGCACTATATTGCACCAGCTGGGAGCTGGAATATTTACCAGAGTTGCGCACGGGTGGCTCAAAAACTGCGATGGTGTCATCTGACAGGAAATAAGAGAGAATAAATCGGCGGTCCATGTCAATGGGCTTGGTGGTGTCCAGGCGACAAACAAAGCGTAGTACGTTGCTGTCAAGTCCATGCCTGAATGGAACAGAAAGAAAAGTGTATGTCAAAGTTGCTTTTAGCTGATAACAAGTGTCCACCATCTGCAATAAGGCAACTACACATTTCAAACATTCCTAAATCCTTCCAAATCCACTGGAGGGTCTTGGAGGATTTTTATAGTACACGTATAGAGGAATTAAAGTATACCCCAGCTGATGGTAGTTGTACACCGAGAGTGATGCCTGTGGACAGTTGAAGTACAAAGAATGTGCCATCGGTCTAACACAGCACAGGGGAGGATTTGGAGGAATTAAGAAGGCTTGTAAGAAAAAACAGGAACTGTTGTGGGTTGATAAGCCTAAGGCCATTTCTAGCAATACAGTGAAGAACACTAAATTCATTAAGGTGTCTTTGGTAATCTCTTTCAAAACTGAGTCACAGCCAAAACAGCCACAAGTGGCCAGAACTGAAATGCTTGTAGAGGGTAGTGAATGTGGAGATTTGGGGAAGTATTTGTAACCATTTGCATCTTCCAACAGTAAACATGAAAAATTTACGTCTGATCTATTTGAAGGCTATAACAACACATCCAGTTTGTAAAAGCCGCAAGACTTGGTACTTAAAAGAGGACACAACAAAAATGTCAGCTCCAAAATGCTCTGGGAAATATAACAATTTACAATGAGAATAGTGTGACCAATCAAAGTTCTGAAGCTGGTAAGTTGATGAATAATGCCATGTGGTGAAGTCAACATGTGCACTGCAGATATTACCACACAGCGGACCACTTCTGAATCAACTCCTCACCGCCCGATTAGTGTTGCATTTTGAGGACTCCAATCCTAACAGGATTCTGCTTTGGCTCACCTGTCTTTCTCCATGAATTTGATGAAGTCCCTTCGCGGCGGCTTGGGTAGCAGGCCCATGCAGGAACAGAGAGAGTCCTCCTCTGAGCCGAAGCCGGTGTAGGGGGGCCACTCACGCTTCATGGCAGGGGCCGGCTCTCCCTTGTAATTCAGCGGGGTGAAGTGGGCTGCAGTGTGGAAGGAAGATAGCTTGGTTACAGTTTGGTCAAGATCTACCAAAGCATCATTAGAGAGCATATATGCCATGCGCAACAATCCTTCTGGGGACAAAACAGGATTTCATTGTCTCGTTTAACACTATTGAAATTTAACAATGTACACTTTTTTAAGTTACTGACAGACAATCTTGAGCCCTTTTTGTCACATGCCCATACCCAAGTGCTTTCACTCAATGTGAACAGACCATGGATTTGTGCATATTCTGCTGAAAATTGGCTGCACCCTTCTGAACCTTATGAAAAGTAAACCAACACAAAGGATAAACAATCAGATATCTGAAATCTACTCACCCACACCATACTTGGAGCGATAGTACTCTTTGGTGAAGTCATCGCAGTCACAGAGCGTCAGCTTGCGTCCCCAGATGTTTATTTCTGTGCCAATCTTAAGGTCGCTGTCCTTATAATATTCAGTGTGCACGGCCCCGGTCTGAAATCATTGGGAAATGTGGAGGAATCGTTAATCTGGGGTGACATATATGGTTCCCTATAACAATTTAAACAAAAACTGATCAGTACATATTTTTAACGGATGGGCAGAACATGTTTCAAAGCTTTTGGCTGATTCCAGGCTAACCACATGTTGTGTGTGGTAGAAAATTGACAATACATGATTTGCTTGAGAAATGCCACAGAATTGCTCGTGACACATGGTACATCAAAACATGTATACATGGCATAACATACTTTGTTGTTCAAAAATAGAAATAGGCTTTCCCAGAAATGTGCAAGTAGTTAAAGCAAATGGTATTTTCAAATTCAGTTTAAAAAGTGTTCGTCATCAGAACAAATTTTCCATGCAAGAACAAATGACCAAACCAGCTTGCTTTGTATACTTTTAAAACTCAGTTTGACCATTTTTAATATACATACATGTAGGTGACGCAACTAAAGACAAAAGCATGATCTTTTCAACCCCTTGCACTTGTTTCAGCTCAGTTGTTTTTGAAAACAGTGAAGAGTTTTTATTTAGATATTTCTTGAGTTTCAAATCAAGCCAGTACTTTCTGCTCATTTTGATGGATAAAAAATATGCAGAATCAACTCTACCTTCAGACTGTCCAAGATGTATCGGCCGCCGTGACCCATGGGCCCAAACACATTGAGAACGGTGCGGCCTGTGATCTCGCCAGGCTGCCGCAAGGGCTCGGGCCCGCTCTTGGGCAGCCGGGCCCGGCGCAGGAACATGGGGGCAGCATCCCGGCCCGAGTTGGCCGGGATGACCTCCTTGACCTCCACCGTGTCGTCGGCCAGGAAGTAGTGCAAGATCATCTCCCGGGTGTCGCCAAACATGTTGTCGGTGTCATCCCAGTAGCAATAGAAGCGTAGCACATGCCGGTCGTGGTCAAGGAACTGCTTCAAAGTGTCCACCTTCTCATAGGGGCGAAGCGGCTGCTGCGACTCATCCATCTGGTTGAACATGAGAATATTTGCAACTTTGATCGATTATTGAATACTAATAAATACCTCGATTACCTATTCCTTTAGACGTCTGCAGTACTGATGATGTCACACTTTACACACTTATACGTGTGCTTTCCTACGATGCTCGTGACCAGACCATGGGGCCCCAACTCCACAGACAAGTTCACCTCAACGATAAGAGGTACCATACCAGCAATTGTGAGTGGAGAAGTGATGTATTAGGCTGGTGTAAAACACAGGAGTTCTTGCTGGTGTTAATCATTCAGATCAATCACATAAGTGAACTGTCTTGTATGTCAGTGTCTGCCAATATCAAGTCCAACTACAGTTCCCTATCTTTTGCTACTGTGAACATTCACGCTGTATGTCACCTTGTCGCCGTGTTTGTTACTTTTTCAGTAATTGTGGGTCAACTTTGATCAACTATACAATCAGACCAGACCACAGGTCGTTGATGGAACTCCTTTTAAGCTGGAAACCACATAAGCCTGCAGCCAAATTCACAAGTTTATATGCAACAGTGCAACTCCACTTACGTCCAAATGTTTTTACATAAATTACACCAAAAATTAGGACACATCATGTGAAAGTTGGCTGTTTGCATAAGTCTGCGACTTGCATAACAAATTGCAGCGTTAACTTTCCCAATCATTTTAGGTTGTGTAAAGTGCATCGGGAATTCATGATTTCACAAACTAATCTTGGGTTGTTTAGTTACTAAGCTTGTCATTGCTCAACTTTACAGGGTTCAAATGAGAAATGAAAATCATAAACAGCCTTATGCTCAAACCCTGGTGCAGCTACATGTATGTCACAAATTTGCAGCGTAAGGATTATGTGTGGCCAAGTTTGGTGAAACAGCTATCTAAATCTTATGTTCTTACCCCTTTCCTGTAATTCGAGTATGGATCCTCAGGCGTGCTTTCTGGTGGGTTGATGCGCATGCCTGCCTTCCGCAGGAAGTTGTAGGTGAACTGGTCACAGCCAGTGATCTTGAAGGTGCGGCCATACAGCGTCAGCTCTGTGTCAACATTGAAATGCTCCATCGTGTAAAACTGGTCGTCGTTTGGAGGCGGAAGGGGGATTCGATGGCGGCGAATCAATGTACCTGTTGACAAAGCCCAAAATCACCAAACATAAGTAAATGCTAATAAATAGAAATATTTTATTCATTTCTAAAGCCCGAATTTCATACAATCATATTCAAATGCGACATACAATGAAGACATTAAACTATGTGTGATGGTGAAGCTGAAGGCATTGTTTAGGACATATACATGTATGTACACAGTTGTGATTGTATCTTTCGTCAACATAATTTGATAAACTACAATAACTGTACATGCCAGGAACAGGTTCTCAAACTATCACACAGGACTAAAGAATTTTGAAGGTGAGATCCCAAAGCAAGCTTCTCATGAAACCAACTTTTAGTTTTACTTCTGACAAAGGAGGGACTTTAAACACGGCTGTAACAATTTCTATAAGAAGCATTTGTAAATAAAAAAAATAAAAATTGCAGACACAACTATGTGGAGCTTGTGTGATCATTTGCACCTGCTGTCATCAGTTATTAATTGAAGACTAATTAATAGTAGTTAATTTGTTTTCAAAAATACTTTTTCATGAAAGATGAATTCAAAAGATCTATGCAGGTAGTATAGCGTGAGTATGTATGAGAATCAAATAAGTTGTGGTATGCCACTCTACCTTGTGGTATGCCGCTATTGTTGACTTGGGGTTCAATGACCTGGATGGAGTCATCCTCCAGATAAAAGTAGACCTTGCACTTGCGGATGCGATACTGCTCTTCAGGTTTCTCGTGCACTGCCTCCTGGAAATACGCATCAAAACGCAGAACCTGCAAAAGACAAACATTCGACACAAACATTTAGAGCATATTTTTTGTGGAAATCTGTGAGTGGGATGCAAGTGGTTAGAAATTACTAGCTTCCCATCACAGGGTTTTGAGGTTTGAATTCAGCAATTGAAGTGAAAATTGACAAGGAAAATAAAGGGGAATTTATTTGGTTGAATCCAATAATATATTTCAAGGGGTTAGGGGTAATTTTCAAGTGAATTGATGCATCTGCCCAACAGTCAGTCAAAAAATAGCCTACATGTACTTTTATTTTAGTTTTTGTGGTTAAGCTGGGACTAAGGGAATAGATCATCAATTAGGACCCAACTTCAGTTGGACTGTATACTAGCCTCCCACTTTAGATAGGAGACCTACATTTACTTGAGCTTAAAACTCAGTGAGGTAGACCATACTAACATGCATTATGTTTCTTCATGTGTGGGAAGTTGGTATGACCAAATACATTTACCATTATTTGAATTTTTCAATCGTCTAGCAGGTCAAGTATTTGACTGTCCAGTAACTGCTCCTACCTGCCTGTCGAAGGCAACCCATGCAGGGGCTGCATTGCCTTGGCCCTGGGGGATCTTGCTATTTTGTGGCTTGGGTTTCTGTCCCAGCAATTTCTCTCCACCGATGCCCGGTTTGTGTTCCCCGACCAACATGGCCACTTGATTACAGTGGTCAAAGTGGTGGGACTTGTGGAACTTCTCTTGACCAAGCTAAGGAATCAAGAAATACAACCCCCCCAAAAAAAATTTCAGAAACTTTAATTTCAAAACTTATGGGCAAAAGTACATTATTTTTTACAATCTTTCTGCAGTACTTGTCAAAATTTAAAACTGAAAGTAGGACCAAGGTCTGGGAGTTGTTCTTTTGGTTTAACGATCAACGCACTACCAATGACACAAGCAGAAAAAAATAACAGGTTTAATTACTCTCTGAAGGGATACAGACACCTGTTTTTTACGAATGAAGGTGTATAATCTGCAGTCATTCAGTCACACAATACTTTTTTCCTTACAAACAGCAGTAAGCCGATAACATGTACTTGCTGAATTCTCCTATTGGAAGTGCATCAATTGGCTTGTGGTCCAGTTGGCATCCAAAACATATTGACCGCAGAATTGAATCCCAGCCATGCCCATGTTGGCAAACTGCAAATTTGTTTTTTTCATACCCGCAAAGGTCTAAATCCCATTCCAATTTAAAGTGTAAAATATTTCACTTTAAGGTTTGTGAACTGAGATTTTTGAGGCTTCTTTTAAGGGAAGTAAAAGATGAAAATTATTACATGTACATGTAAGTCCGGATTTCATCCTGTGAACCGGAATTTGCAATGACAATATACATGTACCGGTAGGCCTAGTCCGCAAAATGTGCAATGCGCATTCTGAATTGCCATAGGATCTACCAGAACAATAGTATATGAACCATAAATTGATCAAATAGCTGCCGTCTTCTACAAATAGACCACCTTAATGTTTTATCATCTTCTTATTAGGCTAACCTTACATAGTATGTCAATTAATACTGAGGTCTTACTGTCGAAATGTACACTATAATGTGGGATTGTCAGAAAACATTAAGCCAGTCAGTGTCAGTAAAATGGATGTCGGACAACTTGACCATTTGCCAACTCAACTTCCGCCAACTTGACCGTTGAGACAACTCAACCAGCAGTGGGAAAACTTGATCATTTGTTGAATCGTCCGTTAAGACAACTCGACTTTGACATGCAGACAACTCGACTCTGTGAAGTCTCTACATAAAATTTTAATTCGTGGCCAGGTCAGCATGCATGCAAGTTGATCATTGGCCTAGCCTACAGCTCTGTTTTTAACCATTCTACATGTTTTATGTAACGTCACACGATGCAAACAGTTCAACTAGAAAAACAAATCAATATTGTTTTCTTCTTTCAGTAATTATATATACAATAATATCAATCTATGAAGTAAAACAGTTTGAGGCCTAACCAGTTAACTGTGAGGATAAAAATAAGTTTGAAAGTAGGCCTAACCATCCTTGGAGCTAGGCCAATACTAGAATTATAAATAGGCCTACCTTCCGATCGAAGCTATTCCCGGGTAAAAAAGGCAGCGACATTGTGTTCCTGCTAATTTCACGAGCACGCCGTAAGGAAATTCCAGTACGTATTCCTTCTTAATCTTTCAGAAGTAAGTTGGGTTTCCAAACGCGTTTTACAGTTTAACTTCGGCAAACCTCGATTAAATTCAGAGTCAACAGACTTGATCACGATGGATGTCACTGACGTTTCGGCTCACAAACACCAAGCACACCGACTGCACGCCGAGGCCCTGTTGTATTTTGCGTGTTGGCATCATTGTTCGCGGTTGCTATGCAGGTGTCAGAGGTCAATCGGGCTGCGTTGAAGCTCGTACAGAGGGCGCGCTCTGCATTTTTCTAAAGGAACTAAGTCACTAAGTAAGAGGCTCTATAACAATGCAAGCCAAACACTGCTAGATTTTCTCGAATCAAAACAAAAGTATATTGTCTTGACATTAGGCTTTCCATTTCTTTTCAACTCCAGTTTAGATAGTTGATCACCTCATTGACTGTCGTTTTTATTCTTCGTCACTTTCTCAGCGTCCATTGGTTCAACAAGAAAACCGTGCTCCAACCCCTGAATTATAGTGTGAAATGTGTTAATGAAATGTGTAGATATTAAAACGAAGATTCCTTGGCCAGCCATTTTCCTGTTTCCTTGTTTGTTGGTTGGTTTTTCTTCTTCTTTTTCTTTCGTGTTTTAATTTGCTAAAGTCATCGACTGGGATTAAAATCCCAGCGGTTACATTAGCCGATTACAATTTTAATCATACAGGCAAAATACACTCACCCGTCGAAAAGAATAGTTGCCAAGCCGCTGTCGCTCGCAGCCATTTTTCCAATGGCTTTCCTCTGCTTTTCTGGACAATAAGGCCCGTTTTTCATCCGTAAGTTTATCAACTATCTGCCAATTCATGGAAGCCTCCAAACCCAGGGAGTTAATCCTGGCCCACACTTTCACAACAATGGCATATCCAGCTTTCGGCGGAGGGGAGTTCAAAAGCGAATGCGGCTTTGGGCTCACTTTTTATGACAGCACAAAATATCACAGAGATACCGTACTGAGTGATTTGCACTCCTCAATTCAAGAAAGCAGCTGCGTAACGACTGAAACTCGGTGTTAAGAGGAATACCGTAGTGTCCATGGTGGAATATCAGCGAGGCGCCCGCAGAGTTGTAAAGAGTTTCCAATAGTCATGACTCGAGTGGTGTCATTAGGCAAAAATTCGATTCGAGACAGGTTTTAGCTCGACTCAATACAAGAGTCACATATCTGAACAATTACGATCAATAAAAAAAGATAAAAAGGTCATCTGGGGAATTATAAAATTTACCTCTGGGTTTGATCAGACCATTGTTGATGATAACAACACATGGCATGAACATTTTAAACCGGCAAGTCATTGTAAACAATACTTCGTAATGAAGTTTGTTTTGATTTTTTTTTTGAGTCTTATTAATTTTCACTCATTACTCAGTCGAGAATTATTTTGAGGGACTCTAGTCGAATCATTTGCTCGCAGAGACTCAAATCGAGTCGAGTAATGTGCCCTCGGAATTTGAGTCCAGTCGAGTCGCCGAAAAAGTGTGACTTGAGTCGGACTCAAGTCGAGTAACTGACTCGAGCCATTCCAACTCTGAGTGCCTGTGTAATTATTCCTAGCAGTTACTTGGGAGTTTGACAGTTTCCAGGTCTTTTAAGATGTGACCAAAGTCTAAGAATCATTGGGAAGAGAAATGAAAAACAAATTCAAAGCTGTTTAAAGCATTCTAATAATTAGCCTTTTTCCAATTTAACCAGATTAAACTTTATTTCAACGAGTCTCTAATTAGCAGTTCATGTACTCGCCCCAGGATTCGACTATCAATTTTCTACAGAAAAAATTTCCACAAAATAGTTCCCCTTTCATCCAACCGGCGCCGTGGCTTAGTAGGTTAAAGCGCCTGTCTAGTAAACAGGAGATCCCCGGTTCGAATCCGGGCGGTGCCTTTTGAAACTCTCTCCTTTTGTAGATTTATGAAGGATTTATTGAACAAAAGTGTTTGGAGGACGATAGCGGAAATCTGTTTTAAAAAAATTGCAAAAAAGCGCATTAAAGGCTTCTGAAAAATTCCAACTTTACTTTTTGAGTCCTTCATGCGTGCTGTCGTAGAATAAATTGGCTTAGCCCATTGTCCATGTGTTCGTTTCGTTTATTTATTCCTTAATTAATATTTGAAAACGAAAACCAGGTCGATTTACGTTTTTCGATTCGAAAAAAAAGATAACTCTTTCAGGTTCACTTTTCCATTTGAAAAGAACTGCAATTATGACCATACAAGTTCGTTTCTCGTTTTTCTATGTTGAGAAAGACAAACGGAAAAAGTTAGCAATTTCTTTGGAATTTTATTTGAAATAAAAAAATATCGATAAATTGTTATAGATTTTGCTGCAAGCAGGGAAATCTGCAAAGAAAAGCAATTCTCCACTCAGTATACGCCCAATATTTGTGGATGTGGGCCCATATTAACTGTTATCGAATATCAGCGGAATGGGTTCGAAAAGCGTCGGCCAGTTTCGGAATTATTCAGAAATGGGAGAAATTCCATATCTTAATATTCCTTTTTCAACCATCTTCAATTTATGTAACTTGGCAGACTATAAAGAGGTTTCTTAATTAATTCACCAAATGAAAAAGGGGAAGTTATTTGCATTCTTTGTCCTTTACAGAAAACTGCATTAAAGTGACCAATTTTGCCCCTAACCCAAGGATTAAAAATGACCCCATATTACCCCCATGATACGGTACACAATGAATGTGCTCAGAGGAAAGCAAACGCAAATATGGGCAAAAGCTGGAGTAAATGAAAATAAGTTACCCTTCCTCTCCCACCATCACCAACTCCGCCTCCTGGATCGATCATTCATTACGGTGCCCAAAACCGTGCTGTAGGTTGATACTCGACCTTTGTTCACATTGCCAACGTTTCCCACTGTTTGCCCTTCGTTGCACGTACTAGGGAGCAAAGGACGTTCTCTACCGGGGTTGCAAGGTTCAGTTCTGAACAGCAACACTCGTGAAGCTTTTGGAGTTAGTCCAAGATCTTTTACATTCTTGGCTGTGGTCCTTCAATAACACACGGGCTCGTTGGGTTCTGTGTAGGTAAGTCAAGACCATTTTAGTCAGTTTCCTAAACCTCTGAAACGCCAGGGATGACACCAACCTTGTTATTTTGGCCCACCCTCGATCACCCACTGCGTAAACCAGGCACAGCCCAATACCTACATGTATATATCATAGAGCAAGGAAACAGAACAACGCCCATTGACTCTATGCTCAAACTGATTATGTGCTTTTGGATCTGTCTGGGAATGGATGCTGAAAGTGATGAGAATAGCAGATGGGAATTGCTCGACTGTTTCATTCATCTATGAATGAATTAATATAAATATTTCAATGTGTTGTCTCATTTGTTCCACTAAATTAGGTTTTTGTCATTAGTATTCGTTGTGTGAGTTTTAAAGCTTGTGCCGGGGGCGTAAATTAACCGCAGGGTTGTTTCATGTTCCAAAAAAAGGGATTTCATATCCACAACCTGATACTAATCAACAATTTTGGGCCCGCACCCGCGCGCTGGACAGCAAAGTGAATATGCATGAGAGTAATGCACTTCCTTCTCTTTGACGTCAAAATGTGTAGATGAACTGCAGGCGGCTCCGGTGGAAAAACAAATGGATCTCTTTCTGTGCACGTGTTAAAAATGAATGTTCCAAACGTGACACGCGTTGTTGATAAGTTTCAATTTACTCGTTTTGTTTTCTTTATTTATCACTTTTTAAAGGGAAGATAAAAACATGCAGAAATTTTGATCAGGTTTATAATATCTTTCTACCTTCTGAGATGAAACAATTAAATCGGCTTTATTCTCATAATAATCCTTTGAACACGCGTGATTGGGTCCGTCAAGTTGAGGCACGTTTGTAACCAGATAGGCATGAAGATGCGGTATATTGTTTGTTTGTTTGTTTGTTTGTTTTTTGGAAGTGGCTCAGTATTATTCTCTTTTGGGGCAGTGGTTGCTCATTCGAAGACAACTTCGGTGTGTTTTTACTTATCTAATCAGCTAGGATTATTTGAAAAGAAAAAAAAGAAGGCAGTAACCTTCTCTGACCACGTGAGAAATATCTGACAATAGAATCAAGCCGCATCTACTTGGAAAATATTTTTGCCACCCATAGCTGGGATATTTCTGAAATTTCAAACTTCGGGATGCCTAATTTTTTGTCTTGTTATGCATTATGTATGATTATGAAGGTATACAACTATATTTTATCATCTGTTATAATTGTTGAAAGTGAAATTTCGTTTGAATAAGGCAACTTTGTGGTAGATACACTTTTCTCAGAATGTACAAGATAAAATACCTTGAGTATCATACTTTATGAAAGGTGATACTCTGACTTTCGAACATTAAAAGCAAATGAAATGACGGGAAGGCACACATGTACAGACAATCTAGCAACGTCATTCCTTACCTTGAGGGGTAGACGTGATGTTGACTTCAGCTTTGCGTCCATGACGTCACCGTTATTCATCGAAGACAACGTCTTGCGGGCTGCTTTGACTAGAGGTGGTATGGAATCCAGTGTTACGTGAATGTAATTTCGCTTTTGATACTTTGCCAGACATAACGCGTTGTACCAACTCTCAACTGAAATTGCAAATAATATGTTGTGATATGTTGAACCTGACCTGTCATTCAGGGATGAGCACAGCTAAGTGACGTAGCCTGTATCCTATCGCATCACGTGCTGTGAACGAAGATCTAAATTTGTTTCACAGTAGGCATACTGTCTGTGTAAGGCCTGTGCCTAGGCAACTATTTCAATGATAATGCGCTATGAACTCCAGGAAGCAGCGCACACATAGATAGCAGTAAGTAAAAAATCGACGCGTCAACGCTCAGTTTTCAGTCAGTTTCCAGTCATTCAGTTCTTGCAGAGTCCAATTTGTGCTGAATTGGACCAGACCCAACGACACTCTACCCATCGGCCTGTGAAAGGCCGCGCTCGTTGTAACTTCTATTTTTACAAGAATTGTAACTGTAAACTGAAATATGTGTAGGCCCATTAATGTATACGTGGTACTTCTCACACGGATAAACAAATTGGTAAGTTTAATTAACAAAGTCTCGAATGAGATTTGAAGGTTGGTGTATGAGGGGGCAGCTGAGGGTGCTCACATTTTCTTCAGTGGGGTAAAATTGTTTCAAATTATTTGCTTGTAAAAAATCTCAACTGGCCTTTGGGCTCATGCTCTTACACTGTATAATCTATGCAGTAATGTTCTCATGTTATGCCCAACTCAGTGACAACGTGCGACAGGGCCTACTTTGGACAGAAATAAACACTTGCCGAGAAAAGAGCACAGGCACGCAATAAGAATATTGAAATTGTACTGAAAGCTAAATAATGAGGAAACTGGCAAAAGGAACCCTGTGTTTGAAAAAAATAATACATTTCAGGATATAATGCAGACAGAAGGGTAGAAAGTAAATTTACCTTAATTTAAAAGTAATAATGAATGCATAAAATGCCTGTTCACGGAGTTTGCGTATATAGTTGTACATGCCTACGCAGCTGAATCGATTGGGCGTAATCTCCCATGGTTGGCACAGAAAAAAAGTTGGTACGGTGGGCAAACTTGAATTGGACGTCGCTTGTCAATTATGATCAGACGATTGACCTGTGGACTTAGCATTTCGACGGTGTATGCTCTGGACGTACTGAAGGGAGGCAAACTCGGAGAGGGTATGTACAACAAGAAGCACTGGAGCTGATGTGTACCCAGGCACCAACTACACGTTTTATATTAAAACAGTGACTGCAGGGTAAATAAAGAGATGGAAGATGGCAGCCCCCACGAAAAGCTAAACCAACGTTTGGTGAGTCCGTTCCTTTTGTCCCATTTACTGGGTAGAAAGAACCCATAAATACAACATAGTGGCAGCGGTGGTCCCAGTAAATGTTAGCGGACATAACAGTCATGTTTACAGGATCTAATTAGCAGTGCAGAATTTCGGGGCCCAAAGTTTCTTGTCCGATTTTTGCCGCACATGCACGTGTACGTTTTGCACAACGATAATTTCCGATCATGTCGCAGTCAGAGGGGGCGCATGCTAGTTCAGTTTTGATCGGGCGATTAGATCCCTATGATCAAATTGAAGAGATCACCAACTGCCTTGAACGCTTGGACCAGTATTTCAAGGCCAATGATATTCCAGCTGCCAAACAGTCTGCTGTTCTGTTGAGTTGTATTGGGGCACCTGTGTACAAAACCGTGAAGAGTTTGTGTGACGCTGCGGCAGTCTCTGAAAAGACATATACTGAACTGTGCACTCTGCTCAAGTCTCATTATGGGCCTAAACGCCTTGTAATCGCTGGACGGTTTCGGTCCTATCAGCGCGGTCAAAAACCTGGTGAAACCGTGGCACACTATTCCGTTGAACTGCAAACCCTGGCAGGACCCTGTAAATTCGGCTCTTTTCTCGACGATGCCCTCCGTGATCGCCTGGTCTGTGGTATACGCAGTGAGTTTATCCAGGAACATCTGTTGACTAAAGATGGTTTTACATTCTCTCAATGCCATTGAACTAGCCAAAACACTCGAGACGGCCACAAAGGATCTACAGGAAATCAAGGCTAAGGGAGACGGCACTGTAGTCCAGGCTGTCCAAAAGTTGAAACCGCGCCAGCCACGGCGCTTAAACAAACCTCCAAGCAAGGATCAGCGTTCCCCCCCACCCTCGGCCTAGTGGGGG